ATAATGGCTAAAGATGCAGACGTTTACATAATGTCACACAAATATGGAGTGGCTAAACAATATGAATAATTGACAGCAGGGGGTTGGTAAATGGGAGCGGTTCTTTTGGGTCTTGCTTCATCCTTCAACTCGGGTAATAATACAAAACAATAGGGGGTGTCTCCTTCGGGAAGTGACTTTGTTGTTCAAATTTTGCTTCTGTTCACCTGACAGCAAACACCTGGATGGTGGGATGGTGATGTGAATGGAAAACAGCCCACGCTTCAAGACGAACTGAGGTTGTATACTCCCCAGGGAGCTGAGAACAGTGAGTGAGTGAGTGAGTGAGTATGGTTTTACGCTGCTTTCAGCAATATGTCAGCAATATCATGGTGGGGGACACCAGAAATGGGCTTCACACATTGTACCCATGAGGGAAATCAAATATATAGATATGAATGTTAAACAACATTCAAACTTTATGTGGCCTATTATTTAAAGCCCTGTGAAGATCCGGTTAGAATATTTCTTCAGCAAGCCAGGATTGGGTGGCTATGCTCGCTGACTTGGTTGATGCATGTCATCGTATCCCAATTGTGTGGATCGATGCTCATGACTTCCATCACTGGATTGTCTGCTCCAGACTAAATTATTTACAGATCGCTGTCATTAAATCTGGAATATTGCTGAGTGCTGTGTTAAACAACAAACAAACAAACAAACAGATCAAATCGATCTTAATTTTACAAGCCACAAGCAGGTATGGTAGAAATCGTAAGTCAATTATTTGGTCTTCAGTTCATTTCAGACTAGAGGTTTATGTAACAAATAGATTAAGACAGAAACAGCTAGTCCTCATACATCTGACTAAAAGTCTCGTGGCTGTGCACACAGAAGGCCATGGGTCATTATCTACTACTCCACATTTTTTAGATCATGACAAACATGATAAAGCTGACATAAAACTACAAGTACACCATGGCGAACCAAAGCTGTACTTCAGCCAACCTGCCATGGGTGAAGCACCTCGGACAAAGTCGAAGCCACGCAAGGAGTTGAAACTATTAGTATCCTGATTGTAACACCGCCCAAGCATCCCAGTACATTCCGCCATGTACACCAGCAAACCTATGATTCCTTTGTTCCTTACTTAACATCCAATATCAGGGATTATTTCCAGAAATATAGTTATCTTATTAAAAACATGTATCTACATAAAAAAGAAGTAAAATTCAAATGGAACCCACAACAATGCTTAATTTCAGGAGAGCAATATAGACTTTTAGTCCCAGACAAAAAGTTATCTTAATAAATATATATCTATATCTCTAGAATAAACAAAATAAACAAAATATAATCCGAATGGAGCCCAGAACAATGCTCTATTTTTAGTTTAGTTCCGGAATAAAGTTATTTTATTTAAAAAATATATCTACAAATAGATAGCAAAATCCAAATGGAGCCCCAAACAATGCTTAATTTAACATTAAGTCTCAGAATAATGGTATCTTATTTCCAGAACAATGCTTAATAAAAAAAAGTTAATTTAAAATTTTGCCCCAGAAATACAGTTGTCTTATCAAAGAGATATACTACAAAATAAAAATAAAATCCAAATGGAGGCCAGCAGAATCCTTGAGCTGAGGCAATCATTCTAGACTTGAGTTGGATTCAGTCTTTTAATTTATTCTCCTTGGGGTCAAAGCATGACATTCGGGGGGGGGGGGGGGGGGGGGGACCCAGGATGGCGCCATGTGGCATGCTTCCCTTGATTTCTAAGAATATTGTCCAGAAACCTGCATCCTATCATACATTGGGATTTTAATGTAAGACAATAAACCACTGATACTTTGAACTTGGATTGAATTTCTTTCAAGAATAGAAATGTCAGTTAAATGACACGTGTGAATCATAATTTCAATCAGCTTTAATGATTCAAACTGCCACAATAGACTCACAATGTAAAATATTTTATATTTTAGTCTAAATAGAGGTCACAATACTTGGCATCCAGACCAGTAAAACACTGTAATACTGTGTGTGAGTGAGTTGAGTTTAACACCGCTCTGAACAGTATTCCAGTCATATCACAGTGTGTCAGCTTGATGTTGGAGGAAAGCCAGAAGTGATGCAGGTCTTGATGCAGGTCTCACACGTTTACCACTTTGGGGAAACCCATGAGCATGGGTACGATGCTGACAAACCTAGAAACAATATCAGGACGAAACCAGGATTCAAACCCTCGATCATTATTAGGTTCCTGGCATGCCCAAGGGACACAACTCTGTACATTTAATAGTGGCACATTAGACGACTGGGCCATCCGTTCCCCTAACACAAACTGAACCTTATTTTCCTCCATGTACATGATGTAAGGAGAGACAGCCTTCCAAGGCTACAAGTCACCTCTATGCTGACAATTACATAGAGATAGGTCAGGCATTTAGCAGGGATTCTAAACTAAGTGCCCATGGCAGGCAAATTTGGAGAGAAAATTGTTATTTTGTTCAAAATTGAGTCCTTATTTTCTTAAATTCAGACGTATTTAACATTGTACTTTGAGATTGTATTCAAAGCAATAATACAAAACTAAGCATCAAAACCTCTTCATATTTTAAGGTCCTGGTGTCAGCGAAATACAGGCTACCTCTACAAAGCATAAAATTAGTCATATATTAACAATGAATTGGGGAAATTTTCGTTCCGATCTGCTACAGACTTGGGGCTGAGTATCGTCCTTTGAGCAGGCAAAGATAAATCTCTGTAGGTTTCTTCAAAAACATGGTTTTCAGGGCAAAAAAACTCAAATGGGGCAAAATCAGATTAACGCATTGAATCCTATTTCTTCTTTAGCCTGGTTAGTTTTTAGGCCCATGATAAGAAGAGGAGCACAAGATTATTTCAGTATGTTTATGAAATAACACACCTGTGAAAGCAATGCTCTCAGGCTCTAAAATCTATGCCAAGTAAACTTGTGTAAGTATCAAAATAACAAGATGGAATTAATCCAGATTCCAAGGCAATCAAATTCTCCAGTTGTAAATATTTTTCATACCAAACATTTTCCCACCAGAGTAAAAAAAATAATCTTTCTCTCTCCAGTCAATTTGATCCAAGCTATATAAAATCCTTAAGAAAGTAAAAATTACTTATTTTCAATATTTTTCAGTGTTATTATCCAGCAATTTTTTGCTTTTGAGAATTGGAAAACGCTGTAAAGATTTTGAGATGCTCCCTAATCCCACCATAAGACTCTATGGTGATTGGGTTAATTGGATTATCGAGATTGTTTGTATCATGGTGACAGTTGACTGACTTGGTTTGATCCGGGTTGTTTGGAGTAGTCGTGCATGACTGACATCGATGGCATCAACTGCCATGTATATTGGTTCCAGGCATCGCTTCCCAATAAACAAATTATCATTTGTGAATAAGGTTGATTAGAATCAGCGCCACTGGGTATAAGTAGGTTCCAGCCTTCACCGGTACCAAAATAGATGTTGTTTTCATGGCAATTCACAACCACAACGTGCACCTTATGTTTGCTCTTGAGTGGTTTTGTAATGAAATATACATGCTATATACACTAGGGAATATGAAACATACATGATTTTTTTATAGAGTTTATCCACCATACTCATCAAATAACAGTCACAAGCACTGGCTTGTACAAACAGTTTGGTTATGAAATATATACACTAAAAGCCCATGAGATATAAATGAAACGTACACGATAAACTCTGCACACAATATGATATGTACACGCTAGACACACAGGAATTTCGAAATTAACATGTGATAAATGGTAATCCAATTCATTCCAGTATCCTTTACAACCATTTAAGATAAGTCTATAGTAGTCAGTAAATGACATTTTCTAATCTCTTTTTCCAAATCTAAGCGATATACGCCTACGTGAAGGAATGAGTGATATTGATCTGTGATGATTCATTGACAAGGAAACATCATCGATGACTTGTCCTTTTCTGATAATACAATGGAACTTCTATTCAACTGCATCCAATGAAATCAATTCTGACTTTGTGCTGCAGAGGTAATATTAATTAAGCAATGTACAATTTTAAGAATTTGCACATAAAATCAATCGTATGTAATATAAGATTTTTTGAGTGAGTGAGTGAGTGAGTGTCGAAATATTGCACTGCATGATCTTTCACATTAGGTTTATGACAAAAACACCTTGACTTACATGGTAAATTTTGAACACTTAAGTGAAAATTCACATATATGAATGTCATGTTTCCTAAAAAGAATTGGGGGAATACGGATCTATTTTCAAGCACTTTGTCATAAATTGATGTTTAATAAGATATTGATACTACTAAAATGGGCATCTTAATATCATTTGTGATTGTTATAAACTCTTGGAATGTTATATTGTATAACATACTAAACATTGTTGCACTTTCTTCTAATGCATTGGTATTTGCATAATCTTTATGTGACATGACAATTTTGCATTTTTTCAAAATTGATATTTCCCTTCATGGACTTTAATCCATTAAATTATCTTCGTTTCCATGGCGATACACTGACGAAAATAAAGCTAACTGAATGTGTAATGACATGAGCTATCGCAGAAACATGAACATCTCATTCTCTAGACGTTTGACATTTCAAGAATATGAACCCAGATTGACATCGCACGCTCACCCTCACCTTTCCAATTCTGGTGATAAACAGCAATTTATTTCAGCCAAAACTTGCATGTCGCGTTTGTTTCATATATATCTATATCGGGTCCAAGAAAACTGGGCGCTTTTAGCACAGGTGGCTAAGTTATCTGACAAAGAAATTAACATTGACAACTGCACATTGACACTGTCACGCGAACTGTGAGTACCGTGTTCCCCACTCGGTCGCTCCCATGTCGTGGGATTTTCATCAGGATTTGTGAAATCAACATGTGTTTGCATTAATGTCACTGTCACACTGAAATATACACTTGTGCATTTTATCTCGGTACAGAGAATAAGAAAGAAATATCGGTCCATACTCACAACAGTGCAAGGTACTGCTGCGCCCAATACAAGCATTCTCCTTCGATTTCCGATGTCAACACAAAATCCCAAATCAGTCTTATTGGCGGGTCATCTTCATCAGTTACAGAAGTGTCTATTTCACTACAAAATTTATCCAGAAACTTCCTGAAAGAGGAGAGCAGTTCAGCTCGCGGGGACCCGTCCATCCCGTAAACAAGCACTGTCACACCATACTCGAAGAAAAGCTTATATGTGCACATAAAACAGTGACGTCACAGTGACAGACCGCGGCGCCATTTTCGAAACATGTGCGTGTTGGTGTTTGTAAACAGAGCATTTGTCGACGGCATATGACCAAGGAATTTGACGTCATGTTTGGTCATTATCAGCATAATAACTCGGTTTACCTGTAGTTTGATTAATTAGTCTGATTATTTAACTGTTTGGGTGTAATAGTGCACAGACGTGGTGACAATCAGTGCTGGGCGTTGACCTTGACAGCTGAGACTTTCGAGCACACAAATCGCTGAGCACCCGCAGGTAGGAAGCGTCATCAGAGTGTTCCAACATGGTAGATGTCATCCTCATATGTTTACATTAGAGTTGTGCGCTTTCCCGGCGCATTTGTTTTCCTGTTCGTCAGAGTCGCACTGTAGTCCGAAAATCAACCCTATATAATTATAAAGGGATAAAATCATTCATGACCCATTTTTGATATTACATATGTTTTTATTCAAATGTTACGTTATTCATATGATACAGTCCTAAGAGCAATCTCACTCTACAAGCCACCTTAGATTGAGATTGTTGTGTGATTACTTCACAATGTAGCTAATTGATTGCTTTGTGGCTTTAATTGCTTACACTGTGAAGCTAACTTCATGATTGCTATGTAATATTAATTACTACACAATGTAGCTAATTGATTGCTTTGTGGCTTTAATTGCTTACACTGTGAAGCTAACTGATTGCTATGTAATATTAATTACTACACAGGGTAGCTAATTGACCCAGGTAACACTTATATGACTGGTATCAATTTGAATGAACTTGTTAAGTAACACCGATAATCCCCCTTTTTGATTTATGATAATGAACCTGGGAATACCAATCTGTTTGTACATTACAAATACAAAGCAATACATGTTACATAAACATAACATTTTTAGAAAAGCCTTGAGGAATAAAGGATTATCTGTCCCAAGCTAATCTGAATTAATTTTGTGGATTCTGACTCTTGAGATTTTAGCAACTGGTCCAAACCCTGAGACTAGCAAAATATATTAGTCTTTTCAGCTAACAGCTTATGACAGGCCATATGTTATTTTAAGAGTAAAATCAATTGGAAAGGATGCTTAAGGACAAGACGGGGCTTGTGGACTCAAAAAGGTTTAGCCACAGACTCAGTACAGTGGGATTCCCACATGTTTTGAACTCAAGATAACTCAATATTTTTTCAATGTTCATGTGTTCACAAAGCATGGTCTTGTTGATTCTACTTCCAGAATCAAAAGATTCGTGTGACTTCTCCAACTTAAAACATGTTATGGTTGATTCATAATTTCTCTATCATTTTGTGTAATAATCTACAGTTGCGTCAGATTTACTTGTTTAAATTTTGTTCTGAATGGCCAGTGAGTCCCCGCTCAGAATCAACTGAACGGTGAGTGAGTTGGGTTTGACGCCGATTCCAACAGTATTTCAGTTATATCACAGCGTGTCAGTGTGGGAGGAAAGCCTGAAGTGATGCTGGCCTCAGATGTTTACCACTTCGGTGAAACCCACAAGCACAGGTATGGTGCTGACAAACCTAGGAAGACAATCAGGCCGAACCGGGATTCGACCTAATGATCATAGGTTTCTTGTGTGCCCAAGGGATGCAACTCTGCACCACCCAGCCCCTTTGTCCTTGGGAAGTAACTGCTGTTTTATGTCTGCTATGTGTTCGGCAAACCAGTGGTCGACTGCATGACAACACGCTACACCATCAGGGTATATTTGTGAGTGGTGTCACGATACGACGATACAATATTGTATATGATATTATACATTGATAGTGTGACGTCATCATAGTGTTTTTATGTATGTTGTTTCCCAGGATGCCGACTCCCCGTAGCCTGGGGACGTTCCCCATTAGCCCTGCAATGAAAGCCAAGCTCACATCAGCAGGCTTCCTGACTGTCCCCGATCTACAGGACCTAAAGCCATCCGAGCTCAGCAAGGGTAGGGAAGATCCTGTGAAGTGACACAGGGATTGATCTAAGTATGCTCAGACACCGATATATTCAGCTCCATGTCTGCATGTAGAAAATGTCCTTAGGCAGTGAGTGAGTTGGATTTAATGCTGATTCCAACAGTATTCCAGTTACCGTATTCGACATAATAAGCGCCCAGGGCGCTCTCAAAATTAGTAATAGGGGGCTCTTGATAGAATGTTATTTTGGTGAGAGAAAAAAAGAGTTGAAAGATAAATTTGGTGGTTTATGCTGACAGCCTGAAATGTTTATATACGACAGTTATATTTTTCAAGAATTTAATTGCGTATTATACACGAATAAATAAGTCTTTTGTACATTGATCAATCGGAAGGGGTGCTAATTGGGATTGTTCACCAGCAAATATATTTGTAAATATCACTGTGGGCGCTTATTAGAGCAGGGCGCTTACGGTATATCACGGCGTGTCAATGTGGGAGGAAAGCCCAAAGTGATGCAGGTCTCAGACGTTTATCACTTTGGTGGAACCCACCAGCACGGGGGTATGGTGCTGACAAACCTAGAAACATAATCAGGTCGAACCGGGATTCGACCTAGTGATCATAGGATTCTGGTGTGCCCAAGGGATGCAACTCTGCACCACCTGACCCCCCAGTCCTTGGGAAGTAACTGCAGTTATATGTCTGCTATATTCTGGGCAAACCAGTGTCCGCCTGCATGAGCAACACACCACACCATCAGGGTATATTTGTGAGTGGTGTAACAATACGACGATACAGTAATGTATGTGATACAATAGTTACAACCCCGATTCACGATACATAATATACATTACATTACAAATCAGATTCTTGTAAAAACATGAATAATTACAGATTTGATTAAATGAAACTGTTCAACAGCTTATGCGTATTCTTTCCCTGTTTGCTATAAATAGCATGACATTCACAGTGCACCCTAGCCTATATCCTTCTGCTCTACAATAACCCGTGAAGATCCGGGGTAGAATTGGTCTTCCGCAACCCATGCTTGTCGTAAAAGGCGACTAACAGGATCGGGTTGTCAGGCTCACTGACTTGGTTGATGCATGTCATCGTATCCCAATTGCGTGGATCGATACTCATGATGTCAATCACTGGACTGTCTGGTCCAGACTTGATTATTTACAGACCGCCATCATATGGCTGGAATATTGCTGAGTGCAGCATTAAACAACAAACAATCAATACAATATCCCTTCTTTTATCTCTGAAATTTCAAAACAATGAATATTTTTAAAACCAAGGAACAAATGTTCACTGTTCAGTAAGGGGCGGTTGGGTAGCCTTGTGGTTAAAGCGTTCGCTCGTTACGCCGAAGACCCGGGTTCGATTCCCTACATGGGTACAATGGGTGAAGCCCATTTCTGGTGTCCCCCGCTAAAAAGCGGCATAAAACCATACTCACTCACTCACTCACTCACTCACTCACTCACTCACTCACTCACTCACTCACTCACTCACTCACTCACTCACTCACTCACTCACTCACTGTTCAGTAGATTTCAGTTTTCAATTCAGTGAATATTCAGTGTTTGCACAGTAAGCCATATGCTCACACTTTACAATTTTTGTACTAAACATGATATCTATGATAGGAAGGCACATTTGGCTAATATTCTCTATATATCATGAATCAAGTTTTGGGTAGGTGTATTGTGCATCATATCGGCAGGTTTGTTATGCATTGATGCATCAAGTGAACCATCTTCTTGAGGCAAGAGAGTTAACTGACTATAAAAGTCCAGTTTTCCACCCTTGCCGAACTAGGCTGGTATTATGGAGCTACATTTTGGTTTGACTAACTGAGTCTATGCATAGTCCAATCAAAATCGCGCAACAGAATCAAAATCTGGTTCGTAAACTGCTGTGCCGATTTCGGTCGATAGCAGGATTTGCAAAGCATGTGCACCGCCAACTCGTTGTCAACAGATATTTTCCAAATCATGTCATGTTTTTAATCAAGGTGCTCACGTGATTTGATGCATTTCGCGATGTAAGACCCGTTTTATCACAATATAGATCTTGATTATCGATCAGATCGTCTTGAATGGGCGCTGCCATTTTGTTTGAAACAAATGCAAGTGATGGAATTGGATTGGTTCATAGGAGAGGCTCAGAAGGGACATAACTCATAATAACCACTGGTGGCGATACGATCGAGCCCAGGAATTCCAGCCTAGTTCGGCAAGGGTGGAAACTGGACTTTTAAAGTCAGTTAACTCGCTTGCCTTGGGAAGATGCAAGTGAACTTGACGCCGCACGTATAAAACGTTTTGTTTGTAGAGTTAGGCATCAGCACAGAAGCAGCACTGGAGGTCATCAAGACGGTGTTCCAGGAGGACGCGGTGGTGAGTGGCAGCAGGAGGACGTCGACGCCGAGATCAGTCACGGCGTTGGAGATGTTACAGCTGGAACAAAGTCTCCCCAACATCTTCACCTTCTCGGAGAAACTTGACGACATCCTTGGCGGAGGCGTGCCACTTGCCAAAATTACTGAGTTCTGTGGCGCTCCAGGAATTGGTAAAACCCAAGTTTGGTAAGTTGGGGAGGAAATGTGTCTGGATTGTATAAAGGCCCTCTATCTGGATTCCATTCTATGTTTGTTGCCATGGTAATTATGCAGACAATCCAATGATTGACATCATGAGCATAGATCAAGTTATTCGTCTCTTACAACAAGCATTGGTTGCTGAAGACCAATTCTAACCCTGATCTTCGCGAGGTTGTGCTAGGTTCATGGTTCCCTTTATTTGAGTACCAATGGAATGGTAAAAATTCCTTTGAAATCAGATCTGCTTACGTAAATACATTGTGACAATGTTTATGATAAATGTACTTTCACACAAGTTCTCTGTACAAACACATTGAACGTGATGACCATATGATCATGCTTATAATTTAAGAATCTTCCAAATGTATAGGTGGCACGGGTGGCCCAGTCATCTGAGGCGCCGCGATTCGCTGTGCAGAGTTACGTCCCTTGGGCACGCCAGAAACCTTTGATTGTGGGTTCGAATCCCGGTTCGCCCCGATTATGTTTCTAGGTTTGTCAGCACCATACCCATGCTCTTGGGTTTCACCGAAGTGGTAAACGTCTGAGACCTGCACCACTGCAGGCTTTCCTCTCACATTAAGCTGACACGCCGTGATATAACTGGAATACTGTTAAAAGCGGCGTTAAACCCAACTCACTCGCTCACTCCAAATGTATAATTTTTAGCATTATAAAAAGATCCATTGTTCTTTATTTCAAATACTGTGTGTCAATGGTTTGCAGTATGCAGCTCGGCATTGATGTCCAAATTCCTGAATGTTTCGGTGGCCTCGATGGAGAGACTGTCTATGTGGACACAGAGGGGAGTTTTATTGTTGAGCGTTTGGTGGACATTGCTTCTGCTACAGTTGAACATTGTAACAACATCGCACAGATGGATGGCTCAGTCGGTAGGTTGAACATTGTCACAATAGAGCCTGGGGGCATGGGTGGCCCAGTCGTCTAAGGCGCCGCGATTCGCTGTGCAGAGTTGCGTCCCTTCGGACGCGCCAGAAACCTATGATTGTGGGTTCGAATCCCGATTCGCCCTGATTGTGTTTCTAGGTTTGTCAGCACCATACCCGTGCTCGTGGGTTTCACCGAAGTGGTAAACGTCTGAGACCTGCATCACTTCGGGCTTTCCTCCCACATTAAGCTGACACGCCGCGATATAACTGTAATACTGTTAAAAGCGGCGTTAAACCCAACTCACACACACACAATAGCGCCTAGACTAATTCACGGCCACAGTGGTATAAACTCATTTCTACATCTTAATTACAGTGACCAGTGAATAATAATTCTAAAGAAACAATACATTTCAAAATTCATAATTATGTAGAAAATTTAGTTATTTTTGTTATGTTTTGATTTGTTTCATAAAATTTATTATAAAATCACAGTGATAACACTCAATTGACAGACCTGACAGAGTTATCTCCCTTTGGAGCTGATTTGCAAGTAAACGTTTTTGAGATGTACATTAGCAGTATTACAGGTCAACACTTAACCAGTGCCAGTTAGAAATTGTGCCTTTGTGATAGAATTCAGAATTAAAATAAAATCACTTTGATTTAAACTTAAAATACCTTGCAGAGCTACAGTTAAGCAGTGTATTGCGTAAAATCCCCCCCACCCCCACCCCCCCCCCAATAAAAATATTCAAAACCCTATTACTTTCAATAACTTGTGTACAGAAATGCATGCATTAATGAAACACTTAAATGCATAAAAACTGCTCGCGTAAATACCCAATGAATCTTTTTCAGCATGCATGCAAAGGAGCTAATTTAGGAAACACTATTACGAGCTGATTTACTTTCCGAGTCAAGCCTATATATTTAGAACAGTTCAATACATCTAAAACATTATTTCATTTTTATATAATCTTAAAATGTTCAATAATTTTGGGAAAAACCCAATAGACTGATGAAAACATGAGTGAAAAGATATTGGTTACCCAATGAAAAATGTAATAACCCAATTAATTTATACGCGTATACTCGTGTGTTACATGCACCCTTAATTATGGGCAATTTAATTCTGGAAAAATTTATCTGTCGTACATGAACATTTCAGGCTGTCAGCATAAACCACTTAATTTATCTTTCAACTCTATTTTTTTCACAAAATAATATTCTAATAACAGCCCCCTATTCCTTATTTTGAGAGCGCCCTGGGCGCTTTTAACGTCGAATACGGCAGAGACCATATATCGGTATATGGTCTCTGAATACGGTAACCAATTTAACTTTGCTCCTTAACATCCATAGAAGTACCCTGTGGTTCACACTCTGAAGATTCAATAGTGATTGGGTAAATTAATAGTAAACATATACTGAATACAAATGGTTAGGGATCGTGACTATGTGAAGGGATATTTTTTATAAAATTGTGCTTAGTCTTCACAACATAAATATCAACAAAAATATTCATGATCTCTGACATTTTTTGTTTAGTATATTCAACACTATAACTCACTCACTTTCTGATATAGTTTCAACAAAATTAAACATTACTAAACCAAAATTGCCATATAATTGCCCCCAATTTACAAAAAGGGTGCACTTGCATTATGAGAAAGTTGCGAGACTCTTGATGATCCGGGGTAGAATAGGTCTTCAGCAACCCATGCTTGCTGTAAAAGGCGACCATGCTTCTCGTAAGAGGCGACTAACGGGATCGGGTGGTCAGCCTCGCTGACTTGGTTGATACATGTAATCGCATTTTACAATTGCGTGGATCGATGCTCATGATATAATCACTGGATTGTCTGGTCCAGGCTCGATTATTTACAGACCGCTGTCATATGGCTGGAATATTGCTGAGTGGGGCATCAAACAACAAACAATCAATACAATATCCCATCTTTAATCTCTGAAATTTCAAAACAATGAATATTTTTAAAACCAAGGAACAAATGTTAACTGTTCAATACAAACTTGAATTTTGAGAAAGTTGAAGTGGTGATGAACTTACAACATTAAATCATGAGGGACAGATACTTCCTACTGAGTTGTGAGTAGGTTATTCTTAATATTCACTCATGGTCTCTCTCTTTTCTGAGAAAAATGTGGGTTTCCTGATCAGTGTTTGAAATAATTTTGAAACCCAGCAAAACAGTCAGGCAGGTGTCCCATAAGTGTTGCCTGCCCATATTAAAAGTTACCTGCCCACATTCAGACATTGTTAATATTGAAAAATCGCAAAATATAAGAGACAAATCACGTCTTGATTCAGTTGAAATAAAGTAAAAAGTCACTTGAGAATCTACAAGGAATTACAGTGATCCCTCGAAATACCACTGTCATCGGGGTACAAGACACCGACCCTGCGTTCTCGGAAAGAGCGTTGTACAGATATTCATTGCTGAGGTTCACATTACATAATGATGGTAGTGAATGGAACAGTGGCGCAATTATTTCACAGTGGCATGGGACATGTAGATCTATATAACACTGATCGTGGACGATGATTCAAAATTCAAATTCAAATGTATAATTAAACTGAATTGTAAGTAGTCTTAACATGATCTGCCAGACAGTCAGACAGGTGGAGGAAAGTTTCTTGCAGCCCGACAGAAAAGTTACCAGTCACGGGCAGGTGGGCAGGCAGTTATTTCAGACACTATTCTTGATCTTAGATGGTGATGACAGCTCAGTTACTCTGTTGTCAGAACGACGTCACATAACATGACCACTGGATGATGTGATCTTCCGTTATTTGCAACAATACGTTCACATGACGTCACGTTGATGTGGGCCTCTTTGATACGACCGCCTCCATGGTCTAATGGTAGAGCGTCCGCCCGGATCCCTCGAAATACCGCTGTCATCGGGGTCCAAGAAACCAACCCCGCGTTCTCGGAAAGAGCGTTGTACAGATATTCATTGCTGAGGTTCACATTACATAATGATGGTAGTGAATGGAACAGTGGCGCAATTATTTCACAGTGGCATGGGACATGTAGATCTATGTAAAACTGATCGTGGACGATGATTCAAAATTCAAATTCAAATGTGTAATTAAACTGAATTGTAAGTAGTCTTAACATGATCTGCCAGACAGTCGGGCAGGTGGAGGAAAGTTTCTAGCAGCCCGACAGAAAAGTTACCAGTCACGGGCAGGTGGGCAGGCAGTTATTTCAGACACTATAATTCTTGATCTTAGATGGAGATGACAGCTCAGTTACTCTGTTGTCCAGAGCTCCAGATAAGCTTTTGGTGATGTGGGTATTTTACCCATGCATTTTAAAATCATTGGGTATCAGTAATTCTATCTGGGTATTCAAATTTCTGTTACCCACTAGTTTTTACACATGTGGGTATTTAAGTTATATATTTATAAACACAATTCACCTAGTCCCTGCAAACTGGTGTCGTGTGGGTTCGAGAGCTTTATAGGACTCAAAAATACCACGATACTTCCAAAAGAAAGTGTGATGGCAAATGATCATGATGTAACTGTCATCGTGGAGTTTGGCAAAGTTGACGGAATGCCCATTTATAATTTCAAAATAAGTTGCTGATTTGCTAATCGAATACGCAGGGTTACTTCACAATATTTTGATGATACGCACAAGTTTTATTTTTGCAGCGTATCTGTAATGTTTGTTGCGTATTTGATACGCTTGGATTTCATTTTACTGTGTATTTCTGCATTTCTGATGCTTATTTTACGCAGATACGCAGCTTATCTGGAGCTCTGGTTGTCAGAACGACGTCACATAACATGACCACTGGATGATGTGATCTTCAGTTATTTGCACCAATACGTTCACATGACGTCACGTTGATGTGGGCCTCTTCGATACCTTGAAATCATTGGAACATTTGTTGTTCTATTCAGTGAGAATTACTGAATATAATTCCACCTGTATACATGCCCTTATATGGTAATAAAACTGAGAAATCCACCCCAACACAATCATTGCAATTGTCAGTGGTTGTTTACTAATCACTCTGATGAAAAATATTTTTTCCAGATGTGAAAGAGGCTGCCAACAACTTTAATCTAGAAAAACTGTTATCAGGGATCCACTATTTCCGTTGCCATGACTACATAGAGCTTTTGTCAACTGTACACCTGTTGCCCAAATTTGTATCTGAGCATAAAAAGGTAAGAATTCAGACATTCGATCAATAAAAAGCCCTATTGTAGCAGGGGTCATGTGGACAAGGTGTCTGACCTCTGATCAGAAGGTCCGTGTTTAGAATCCCATCACGGGAATCAGAAATGTTATGGCCGCTACATTGACGCCCAATGTGGGGCTGAGCACATTCATATTAAATTTGAGCAAAATAAGTCTCAGTACTCTACTATATGGCCAGGGACGTGCCTTCAGTTGACGGGAGAGTATGTAGCAGGGCGTGGAGTCATCCCACAGATGACATCCTTACCTTGTCAGCTTGCTGACAGGGTTAACCTCTTTGGTCATGTTGACAAGGCGTCCAACCTCGAATCAGAGGGTCCGTGGTTCGAATCCCATCATGAGATTTGAAAATTTTATGGACGCTACACTATATTTGGCAACCCAATTCTAATATGCATACACCAACTGTTACAATTTGGGCGGAATAATTCAGATATATTCCGGTGCGGATTCCGGGTAAGAATTGGTTTCTAGCACAATGCTGGTTGTAAGAGGTGATGTTAGGGATTGGGTGATCATGCTCTGTCACTTGGTTGATCATTAGGATTGTTGCTCATAATATCAATCACTGGGTTATTTTGATGGCTGTCATAATGCTGGGATATTGCTGAGTGTGACGTTAAACAACAAACATGCACAGGCACACTCAAACACAAACACAAACACACACACACAAAGAATTTCTCGATGCTTCACCAGTGCGAACTTTAGTTCAGTTAAGTCCCCTACAGTCAATCATGCTTAACCTATTTCTAAATTCAGCCCCTTATTATCCCAAATATTTCCAATGGCCTCAAGTCAGTGTGTGCGTATCTGTATTTGACACCCATGATGTCTGATGTTAGTTTGTTTGTTTGTTGTTTAACACTGCACTCATCAATATTCCAGCTATATGACGGCGGTCTGTAAATTATCGAGTCTGGACCAGACAATCCAGTGATTGACATCATGAGCGAACCTGACCACCCGATTTTGTTAGTCGCCTCTTACGACAAGCATAACCACCTCTTATATGTTGGAGCAGTCCTTCCCAATCATTTACAAACTCGACCATCCCTTAAATGATAAATTAAAAATATATATCTTAATATTGATTGCCCTTCGTTTGAGCAGGTGAAGCTTGTCATCGTGGACAGTATAGCCTTCCACTTCCGCCACGACTTTGACGACATGTCGCTGCGAACCCGACTCCTGACATCCATGGCCCAGAGCTTCATCAGACTGGCAACAGAACACAAACTAGCTGTAAGTCAATGCACTGCTACAAGGGAATAAGGGCGGTCGGGTAGCCTAGTGGTTAAAGCGTTCGCATGTAACGCGGAAGACCCGGGTTCAATTCCCGACATGGGTACGATGTGTGAAGCCCATTTCTGGTGTCCCCCGCCATGATATTGCTGGAATATTGCTAAAAGCAGCGTAAAACCATACTCACTCACTCACTACAAGTGAATATTATTAAAGGATAAAGTTTTGTGCATAAATCTGTTGCTTCCTTATAAGGACCCAAGTTGATCAATCCAATCTAATCCAAATATGTTACCTGAGTCTCTAATTTCATAAAAAAATAACATAATGAATTTCGTTAGAATTTTTTTGTTTTGTCACCGATTCAAGTGTCCTGGTTGTTGAGGCAATTGCTTGATTAATGGGAGAACCGAGTTCAATCTCATTAAACATCTTAAGTCTCATTATGGGTAATCTGACCAATCAGAGTGTTGCTTACTAGATCGGGAAAGTGACAGTCTGAATGTGTTTTCTAATCATGCAACCTCAAGAAGGTTAACACAGGGTATTCTGTACGACAGTTACGCCTGTGCAACTGATTCCTTCAAAATCTCTATCTTCATTGGGATAAACATTTGAAACAACTGAATAGCTCATGGGAAGTTTGGACACACACACTTGTCCATCTATTATACATTCCAGAATTGTCTTTTGTTCACTTTTCAAATTTTGAATTGATATTTTACAAAGTGTAGTCTGGAATGGAAGTCGCCACTTTGAAACTAGTGCCATAAAGCTTTAGAAAGCTGCTTTCTAAATGGCTAATGTCGACATCTTGGTCATTTCATTGGTCGGTCAAAGTTTGTCAAACATTGTTGTGACGTGACCTGTAAATGTAATGGGATGTCCTCAGAGTGAGTGAATGAGTTGGGTTTAACGCCACTTGTAACAGTATTCCAGTTATATCACAGCGTGTCAGCTTAATGTGGGAGGAAAGCCAGAAGTGATACAGGTCTCAGACGTTTACCACTTCGGTGAAACCCACGAGCATGGGTATGGTGCTGACAAACCTAGAAACATAATCGGGGCAAAACCGGGATTCGAACCCACAATCATAGGTTTCTGGCATGCCCAAGGGACGCAACTCTGCACAGCGAATCGTGGCGCCTTAAACGACTGGGCCCCCAGATGTCCTCAGATCCTTGTGTAGTGGTATCAAGTACTAAGATCTGAATTTAATGAGGCTGACCCCAAGTTAGAATTCACACATCATTTGAGATACGTTCTGCTCACTGACTCCATTTTCCTTTCCACAGTCATATTTTCAGATTCCATCCTATCTTATACTGAGAAATGTTACCTTTTGATTTCCCACATGGGTACAATATGTGAAGCCCATTTCTGGTGTCCCCTGCTGTGATAGTGCTGGAATATTGTTAAAATCGGCGTAAAACCATACTCACTAACTCACACGGGCATGAGGGGCCAAGTTTTCTCAGGCACCAAAATTTGCTGTACAGAGTTGTGTCCCTTAGGCATGCAAGGATCCTGTAATTTTTTTTTGATTTCCAGATTTGCCCAGATAATGTTTCTAGGTTTGGCGGCACCATACTTGTGATCGTGGGTGTCACTAAAATGGTAAATGTCTAAGACCTGCATCACTTCAGACTTTCCTCCCACATGAAGCTGATACACAGTGGTATAACTGAATACTGTTCTAACCAGCTTTAAACCCAACTCACTCGTGTTACAGGTGGTGCTTACCAACCAGATGACCACCAAGATGGGTGGGGGAGGAGGGTCCCACCTAATCCCTGCCCTAGGGGAGAGCTGGGGCCACGCCAGCACCATAAGGGTGGTGTTGTACTGGGAGGGCAACAACAGATACGCCCTGCTCTACAAGTCGCCCTCGAAGAAGGAAGCAGTGGTGCCATTCCAGATTACAGTAAGTTAACAATTGCTGATCATATATGCACCTATGAAGTGTCTTATTTGTCTTATATGGTCACCCCCGCTATAATGTGTATCTCGGGGTTCATGGATGATCCCCCACGTTACTCCTGATGTGGAATGTTGGCCAAGAAATATATAATTTCTTGGTCATAGTGCGGACTTTAGTATAATTGCTATTTTGAGTATATTGTATCCGGTTACAAACTCTGTCGTATCGCCTCAGGTGAATGAACAAGTGCCGACAAACTTTGTCATTACCTCCACCCTGTATATATACTTGTCGACCATACTCTGCACATCACTTGTTTGATAATGGTGTTAGAACCTACACCGAAACGTCGCTCCTAATTGTAATAAAGAAGTTGTTCATCCACATATCTTATCCTTACTCATTATTCTGTCCAAAATTATGTGTGGCATGTCTTCCATTCATCTAGAGTGGTCCCCCTTTGTTTCAGATGGGTGGTATACGAGATGTGCAGAGTGAAGCTACTGATCAGGGTGTCATAGAGCCAGCAGAGGGAGGAGAGAACCCACCCAAACGGCAGAGAGTCTCATGATTCTTTCACTTTGTGAATGGTGTGTGACCTGAGATGTAGGATTGCATGACCAGACTTACTGCAGTGGATCCCTGGGCAGAATAGGTCCGAAGTATCCTAGGGGCAGTCTGGAAGCCTAGTGGTTAAAGTGTTCGCTGGTCATGCCGAAGACCCGGGTTTGATTCCCGACATGGGTACAATGTGTGAAGCCCATTTGTGGTGTCCCCCTCCAGTGATATTGCTGGAATATTGCTAAAAGCGGCATGAAACCTCACTCACTCACCTCACTCACTCACTCCCTCCCTCCCTCACTCACTCACTCACTCACTCACTCACTCACTGTGATCTGGATGATCATGTGCCATTGTAGCTCTTGCTGTCATCCACTAGTTGGTTAAGCCAAGTGGTTAAAGCGTTCGCTTGTCATGCCAAAGACCCGGGTTCGATTCCCCACATGGGAGCAATGTATGAAGCCCACTTTTGGTGTCCCCGCTGGAATATTGCTAAATATTGCAGCGTAAAACAATACTCACTCACTCCAGTCATACATGATACTGATATACCTGGAATATTGTGGGATAAAAATATTCACTCCCCCTATGATCTACGTCGCTTCACTCAGTACAACGATTAAGCCTTCCCGTGAAGATTCCGGGGTAGAATAGGTCTTCAGCATCCCATGCTTGCCGTAAAAGGCGACTATGCTTGTCGTAAAAGGCAACTAACGGGATGGGGTGGTCAGGCTTGCTGACTTGGTTGATCCATGTCATCGATCCCAATTGCGTGGATCGATGCTCAATTATTTACAGACCGCCGTCATATAGCTAGAATATCGCGAAGTGTGGCGTAAAATAACAAACAAACCAAACCAAACCAAACCAAAGATTAAGCGCTTGCCCAAAGCAATGTGTTACATGGGAAATGCATTCAGGCAAGAAACATATATTTATTTTTAGTTGTTTTCATGTTATGACCATTTAGGCAAGTTGCTTGTTGTAATTCCTGTGCATGAGAAATAACAATCATGTCATTGTTAATTAATGTGATTGTCTATGAGTATCTTCCCGGGGCAAGAGCATCCACTAGCCTTTTTATCAAAGTCTTGTTTCCACCCTTGCCTCATCAAGCCCACATTCCTGTGCTAAATATGATTGGGCTATCACACATATCGATAGCCAATCAGAGAACATTTGACAAACTCAACATCCACTACTGGTACACCTTCGTACAGAAGTGATTTACTGCTGACTGTCTTTGTTGATATGAATATGTTTTTTCATCTTTAAACCCCCAAATGATTACCTATGTTTTGATGTCAGGGATGAAATCGCGAATGTTTTCGTTATCTGATCGACTAGTTTGTCGCTTGTGGTAGTCTCCATCTTTGTGCAGTTACATGTTTTCATTACAAGGGGCACAAGGTGGTACCAGGGTCAAGCCAAAATAAGTGGCCTTGATGTGGGTAGAAACTAGGCCTTGATATGGGCTAGTGGACATGCTTGCCCTGATGGTCTATGAGATACATGTACAGCAAGAAGTTACAAGCTATACAAGATCACGTGCCCCTGTGCACATTGTAACATGGTTTTGTTATTAAACTGTTCATGTTTTCAAACAATATTTGTTGGTTATGTCGTTCAACTGTGTAACAGGGGCAGAGTTGCGTCTCTTGGGCGTCCTTGGTAAACGTCTCTAAGACCTGCATCACTTCGGGCTTTCCTCCCACATTTAGCAGACATGCCGTGGTATAACTGGAATACTGTTCAAAGCGGCATTAACCCCAACTCACTCACTTACTCAACAGTGAAGGGAGGTAAAGGGGGACAGAACTTCTCCAACAAGAGTGAGTGAGTGAGTTGGGTTTAACGCCGCTTTTAACAGTATTCCAGTTATATCAGCGTGTCGTCTTAATGTGGGAGGAAAGCCCGAAGTGATGCAGGTCTCGGACGTTTACCACTTCAGTGAAACCCACGAGCACGGATATGATGCTGACAAACCTAGAAACATAATTGGGGCTAACAGGGATTCGAACCCACAATCATAGGTTTCTGGTGTGTCCAAGGGACGCAACTCTGCACAGCCAATCACGGTGCCTTAGACACCTGGGCCACCCGTGCCCCCTCTCCAACAAGAGACGTTCATACTTGTGAAAAGATCTATTTAAATCAGGTGGGAAAATACTGTGTTCAAATTTGCCCGATTTGGTAAATGTCTAAATAAGTCAAATTCTGTATTTCACTTTTTCGACAAGTGAACAGAAAACAAGAATAAATACAAATACCAAACACTACCTATGGCATAATCAAGCTCTAAAACTGGTGAGGGTTGGTGGGGTAGCATAGTAGTTAAAGCTTTCTCTCAATATGAAAGACAAGGGTTTGATTCCCACTTTGGTACAATGTGTGAAGGCCATTTCCAGTTATCCCCACCGTGATATTGCTTGAATGTTGTGCTAGAAGCAGCTTAAAACCCAACTCACTCACTCTGGTAGTGGCTGTGCCTTTGACCACTTGGCCTCCAAGAGATCGCACACAGCACATAACTTGCAGAGCAACATTGTCACAGTTGGGGGTGTGTGTGTTTGTTGTATAACACCGCACTCAGCAATATTCCATCTACATGTATATGACAGCAGCCTGTAAATAAGTGAGTCTGGACAAGACAATCCAGTGATTGCTTTTGTGCTCAAGGATCCATGTCATCCGAATATGATGACACGCAATAAAAGATCGCTAAACAAAGATCGAGGACATCCCATTAAGCATGACGTCAGACCGATCATTCGTGAACTTTGGAACGACCAATGGGGTGAGGTTGCTAGGGATAAATTCTAGCCTGGATCCCCAGGGGGTGAGGTTGCTGGGGACAGAATCTAGCCCAGATCCCCAGGGGGTGAGGTTGCTGGGGACAGAATCTAGCCCAGATCCCCAGGGGGTGAGGTTGCTGGGTACAGATTCTAGCCCAGATTCCCAGGGGGTGAGGTAGCTGGGGACAGATTCTAGCCTGGATCCCCACAGAGCGAGGTAGCTGGGGACAGATTCTAGCCTGTATCCCCACAGAGCGAGGTAGCTGGGGACATATTCTAGCCTGGATCCCCACAGAGCGAGGTTGCTGGGGACAGATTCTAGCCCGGATCCCCACAGAGCGAGTAGCTGGGGACAGATTCTAGCCCAGATCCCCACAGAGCGAGGTTGCTGGGGACATTTTTTTTTTTTTCTAGCCCGGATCCCCACAGAGCGAGGTAGTTGGGGACAGATTCCTTCCCAGATCCCCAGAGTGAAGTACCGTAGCTGGGGACAGATTCTAGCCTGGATCCCCACAGAGCGAGGTTGCTGGGGACAGATTCTAGCCTGGATCCCCACAGAGCGAGGTTGCTGGGGACAGATTCTAGCCTGGATCCCCAGAGCGAGGTTGCTGGGGACAGATTCTAGCCTGGATCCCCACAGAGCGAGGTTGCTGGGGACATATTATAGCCCGGATCCCCACAGAGCAAGGTTGCTGGGGACAGATTCTAGCCCGGATCCCCACAGAGCGAGTAGCTGGGGACAGATTCTAGCCCGGATCCCCATGGGTGTCACAGGAGGGAAAACTCATAGTTCAAATAATGAGAAAGAGTAGTTTATTTACAACTCTACATTTTTAACTGACACGCTACATTCTGCACAGCATCATTTGACCTGATTTATAACATGATAAATGGTTCACTCAGCAAAGATTCTCACTCCAAAGTTTCTTGATTCACATTTAGAATTCTGCTTCCTTGTAAAGTGAGATAACACTGTACTGTAACAAAACAACACTATAACATACAAGTCTTGCATATCCCTGGCATATACTGCTCAACTTTTGATTGGGATACTGAGATAGTTCATGCTGTTACAAAACTTAAAACAGCAACTTAAGGTAAAGTTATAGAAATCACTTATTATTTTCTAACTTATGATGCTGCTGAAAATGAGTGGGTTCTAAGGCAATATTGAATGCTATGTACATGACAACTTCTCCCAGCGATCACTCACATTTGATTCCCTGCCTGGACACTCAAAATATCCCTATCAAAATTTGAGTTGTATATTAGGCATGACATTTTTCAGCCTTGCTGAGACAAAACTGTTATGGATTTACATATCTGACAAAATATTTCATTGTAAAAATACAAAAACATTGAAATATTAAATTTCCATTTAACACATATTTCCATGCTACGTTCTAAAATCGAACTGCTTATTCATTTCTTTTTTCCCTTGGGAGAGGTTGGACTCTTCTTTGGTGAGGCCGCACCGTCAGTCAACTCGATCTTCTTGTTGATGCTGTCCTCGGTGGACTTAATCTGCTCCTCCACTGACATCTTCATCTTCTTTATCTCCTCTGACAGGAACGTCTGGATCATCGTCCGCAACTCTTTCTTGGCTCCAGACTCCTCTGTAAAAAACATGGATTTTCGTCACAAGCAATTTTGGTACACATAGAGAATCTCACCCGAGTGTCTTTTGATATCAAATATATCAACACGAGTTGATAAAAGTGGGAAAACTCCGAGGCTTGCCGAGGATGTTTTTCCACTTTTATCAACGAGTGTTGATATATTTGATATCAAAAGACACGAGGGTGAGATTTTATTTATCATCCAACATCATTCTTCCAACTTTTTCAGTTTGTAGAAAGTAATAAGCAGTGTCTAAAGTGTAAAAAGTACTAATAACAGCTTCAGTAGCAGAGCCATTAGTGATGTCATTTGATTGTGACGTCATGGTAACCAATGACGTCACAATGGTCTGCAAAGCATTGTGATGCAATTTCATTGCAGCGATATCTACAGTATAGATATCGCTTGATCTCACCCAAGCGATATCTCCTGTGGGAGCCAGTTTCGGATGATAAATGCAGAGACTTATTTATTCGCGTATAATACACACTCGTGTGTTATATGCACCCTTAGTTATGAGCAATTAAATTCTGGAAAAATATATCTGTCGTGCATTTATAAACATTTCAGGCTGTCACCATAAACCACGAAATATATCTTTCAACTCTGTTTTTTTCACCAAAATAATATTCTAATAAGAGTCCCATATTTCTAATTTTGAGAGCGCCCTGGGCGCTTATTACGTCGAATACGGTACTGACATTATTTGGATGCTTTGGGCACCCAAACGAGTTCGAGACAACCAGGAACTTGACACATCCAGTTTGACAGATCCGAGCCAAAATGAATGTAAATATGGCAGGAAGTTGCAGGAAGTTGCAGGCGTGGTCGAGACAACCGTGAATGTGACACATCAAAATTAAACACAAAACATTTCTCCTGTATGTATGGAAACATTGTATTGATACAGCCCTTGTGGTTTAGCAGCCCTACCTTTCTCTTCAGACTTGTCTGCCCCTCCTTCTGCCCCATCTTCTTCCACCTTCTCCTCAGTTGTCTCCCCTTCTTTAGCCTCCGTCTCATCTGCCTTGTCACCAGCTGTTGATCATAAAAAATAGTGCACTTTTAGGATGCATTTTCTAATGCAGCCGAACCAAATACCATTTATTCTTCCCAAGCACATGTATGATTGATCAGTCGAACATCAATTGATTGATTGACAAGGGGGGTGCATCAATTCCACAACCTGCTGTACACTGCTAAGCTAAAAGTTACAAGTGTGTATTCCAATTTATTTTGGTTTGGGCACATTTCAGTGTACAGTGAGTGAGTGAGTGAGTTGGGTTTAACACCGCTTTTAACATTATTGCAGTCATATCACAGCGTGTCAGCTTAATGTGGGAGGAAAGCCCGAAGTGATGCAGGTCTCAGACGTTTACCACTTCGGTGAAACCCACGAGCACGGGTATGGTGCTGACAAACCTAGAAACATAATTGCGGCGAACCCGGATTCAAACCCACAATCATAGGTTTCTGGCGTGCCCAAGGGACGCAACTCTGCACAGCGAATCGCGGCGCCTTAGACGACTGGGCCACCCGTGCCCCCTCAGTGTACAGAAAGGTACCTGGGGTACATATAGAGAACCTCACCGAGTGTCTTTTGATATGAAATATATCAACACAAGTTGATGAAAGTTGAAAAACTCCAAGGCTTGCCGAGGAGTTTTTCCATTTTTATCAATGAGTGTTGATATATTTGATATCAAAAGACACGAGGGTGAGATTTTTTTTATCATGCAACATCATTCTTCCAACTTTTTTAGTTTGAAGACAGTAATAAGCAGTGTCTTAGGTGTAAAAAGGACTGCTTACAGCGTCAGTAGCAGAGCCATTAGTGATGTCATTTGATTGTGAGGTCATGGTAACCAGTGACGTCACAATGGTCTGCAAAGCATTGTGATGCAATTTCATTGCAGCGATATCTACTATGTAGATATCACTTGATCTCATCCAAGTGATATCTCCTGTGGGAGCCAGTTTTGGATGATTAATCTGTCTTACGACAACAACCCCTTCAGCCACACTCCTCTCCAATGCTTGACTATTTTGATAAAAAGATAGCTACGAGATAAATCGCAAAGAACAAACAAGAACGAAGTGTGGTTTGTTTCATGATAAAACATTGTTCTATCATGACGTCATTTCTGGAGATTCAAACATGCGCGCACAACGTGATGACATACATATGACAACGTTATTTTTGAGAGGGGAGTGTCTAGTGAATTATTCCCCATAGATGGCCGAACGATCACATCCAAAAGCGGGATAGATACGACAATGGGTATTGGGAGAAAAGATACAGATAATCGAAGTGAGGATTGTGAGAATATGCGGAAAATACCCACCTGTACATAAAAATGGACTTGTCCGACATTGCCGAGGTCGGATCATATGGAGGGAGTCATTATTTAAATATGGGTAAATATTTTTAAAGCTTGTACAAGTTATTGTCATCTGTAAGGAGGCTGTACGTAATGCTGCACCCCTCAGGGTTTATTCTCCCTGCAGGGTTTTATTGTATGATAAACAACTCCCACTCGTTGTTTATTTCTTAAATAATATATACACACCCTCCGATGGCGGGGGTGATGGCATGGGGAGCCCAATGTAGTTTATTGCTAGGTCCAGCCTCACCTGAAATCAGAACAGAATAATTATAAATAATTACTCTTGACGAGGTCAATATGCAAAAACAAGGACCAGAGCTTTGATGTGGTCTGACCGGGCCGAAGCCTCGACCCGACCCTAAGGTGATCACGTGATTTTGGGGTCTACATTGAAATGTATTGTTTCATCGCTTGTTAGATTCACCAATGGTATTGCAAGATTCTTGTAGAGGTATAAAATTTATTACTATTGCACAGTGGAGCTAACGATTTGCAGAATTGGTCTAAAATTTAACAATTTGACAATTAGTCTGAGTTTGAGGAGATCTGTAGGCTGTATGGGTGTGACTTTGAGGAAGCTGGTGTTGCTATATGGGTGCGAGTTTGAAGAGACTGGTGTTGCTATATGGGTGTGAGTTTGAGGAGACTGGTGTTGCTATATGGGTGTGAGTTTGAGGAGACCGGTGTTGCTATATGGGTGTGAGTTTGAGGAGACTGGTGTTGCTATATGGGTGTGAGTTTGAGGAGACTGGTGTTGCTATATGGGTGTGAGTTTGAAGAGACTGGTGTTGCTGTATGGGTGTGAGTTTGAGGAGACTGGTGTTGCTATATGGGTGTGAGTTTGAGGAGACTGGTGTTGCTATATGGGTGTGAGTTTGAGGAGACTGGTGTTGCTACATGGGTGTGAGTTTGTGGAGACCGGTGTTGCTATAAGGGTCTGAGTTTGAGGAGACTTGTGTTGCAATATGGGTGTGAGTTTGAGGAGACTGGTGTTGCTATATGGGTGTGAGTTTGAAGAGACTGGTGTTGCTGTATGGGTGTGAGTTTGAGGAGACTGGTGTTGCTATATGGGTGTGAGTTTGAGGAGACTGGTGTTGCAATATGGGTGTGAGTTTGAGGAGACTGGTGTTGCTATATGGGTGTGAGTTTGAGGAGACTGGTGTTGCTATATGGGTGTGAGTTTGTGGAGACCGGTGTTGCTTTAAGAGTCTGAGTTTGAGGAGACTGGTGTTGCTATATGGGTGTGAGTTTGAGGAGACTGGTGTTGCAATATGGGTGTGAGTTTGAGGAGACTTGTGTTGCTGTATGGGTGTGAGTTTGAGGAGACTTGTGTTGCTATATAGGTGTGAGTTTGAGGAGACTTGTGTTGCTATATAGGTGTGAGTTTGAGGAGACTTGTGTTGCTATATAGGTGTGAGTTTGAGGAGACTTGTGTTGCTATATAGGTGTGAGTTTGAGGAGACTTGTGTTGCTGTATGGGTGTGAGTTTGAGGAAACTGGTGTTGCTATATAGGTGTGAGTTTGAGGAGACTTGTGTTGCTGTATGGGTGTGAGTTTGATGAGACTGGTGTTGCTATATAGGTGTGAGTTTGAGGAGACTGGTGTTGCTATATAGTTGTGAGTTTGAGGAGACTGGTGTTGCTATATAGGTGTGAGTTTGAGGAAACTGGTGTTGCTATATAGGTGTGAGTTTGAGGAGACTTGTGTTGCTGTATGGGTGTGAGTTTGATGAGACTGGTGTTGCTATATAGGTGTGAGTTTGAGGAGACTGGTGTTGCTATATGTGTGTGAGTTTGAGGAGACTGGTGTTGCTATATGGGTCTGAGTTTGAGGGGAACGGTGTTGCAATATGGGTGTGAGTTTGAGGAGACTGGTGTTGCTATATAGGTGTGAGTTTGATGAGACCGGTGTTTCAATATGGGTCTGAGTTTGAGGGGAACAGTGTTGCAATATGGGTGTGAGTTTGAGGAGACTGGTGTTGCTATATGTGTGTGAGTTTGAGGAGACTGGTGTTGCAATATGGGTGTGAGTTTGAGGGGAACGGTGTTGCTATATGGGTCTGAGTTTGAGGGGAACAGTGTTGCAATATGGGTCTGAGTTTGAGGGGAACGGTGTTGCAATATGGGTCTGAGTTTGAGGGGAACGGTGTTGCAATATGGGTCTGAGTTTGATGAGACCGGTGTTGCTATATGGGTCTGAGTTTGAGGAGACTGGTGTTGCTATATGTCTGACTGTCACATCCATGTAGACTCACCAGGGGTGTGAAGGCGTACTTGTACATCTTGAAGTGGCGGAAGTAGGTGTTGATGGTGTACTCTGTGATCTTCCTCACCTCGTCAGCACTGAACAGCTCGATACTGTGTGGTGGGCGCTGAAACAACAACATGCTCTGGATATCTTTGTTGTAGGATAACAACCCGTCTCTAGATATATTAGTTTGTGGCTGGATAACAACCTGTCTCAGTAGATATATTAGTTTGTTGTAGGATAACAACCTGTCTCAGTAGATATATAAGTTTGATGTAGTATAACAACCTGTCCAGTAGATATATAAGTTTGTTGTAGGATAACAACCTGTCTCAGTAGATATATAAGTTTATTGTAGGATAACAACCTGTCACAGTAGATATATAAGTTTGTTGTAGGATAACAACCTGTCTCAGTAGAAAAATATGTTTGATGTAGTATAACAACCTGTCCAGTAGATATATAAGTTTGTTGTAGGATAACAACCTGTCTCAGTAGATATATAAGTTTATTGTAGGATAACAACCTGTCACAGTAGATATATAAGTTTATTGTAGGATAACAACCCGTCTCTAGATATATTAGTTTGTGGCTGGATAACAACCTGTCTCAGTAGATATATAAGTTTGTTGTAGGATAACAACCTGTCTCAGTAGATATATAAGTTTGATGTAGTATAACAACCTGTCCAGTAGATATATAAGTTTGTTGTAGGATAACAACCTGTCTCAGTAGATATATAAGTTTGTTGTAGGATAACAACTTGTCTAAGTAGAAATATAAGATTGTTGTAGGGATAACAACCTGTCTCAGTAGATATATAAGTTTGTTGTAGGATAACAACCTGTCTCAGTAGATATATAAGATGATTGTAGGATAACAACCTGTCTCAGTAGATAAATAAGTTGGTTGTAGGATAAAAACCTGTCTCAGTAGATACATAAGTTTGTTGTAGGATAACAACCTGTCTCAGTAGATACATAAGTTTGTTGTAGGATAACAACCTGTCTCAGTAGATGTATTACTTGTTGTAGGGTAACAACCTGTCTCAGTAGATGTATTACTTGTTGTAGTATAACAACCTGTCTCAGTAGATATATTACTTGTTGTAGGGTAACAACCTGTCTCAGTAGATGTATTACTTGTTGTAGGGTAACAACCTGTCTCAGTAGATGTATTACTTGTTGTAGGGTAACAACCTGTCTCAGTAGATGTATTACTTGTTGTAGTATAACAACCTGTCTCAGTAGATATATTACTTGTTGTATGGTAACAACCTGTCTCAGTAGATGTATTACTTGTTGTAGGGTAACAACCTGTCTCAGTAGATGTATTACTTGTTGTAGTATAACAACCTGTCTCAGTAGATATATTACTTGTTGTAGGGTAACAACCTGTCTCAGTAGATGTATTACTTGTTGTAGGGTAACAACCTGTCTCAGTAGATGTATTACTTGTTGTAGTATAACAACCTGTCTCAGTAGATGTATTACTTGTTGTAGGGTAACAACCTGTCTTAGTAGATGTATTACTTGTTGTAGGGTAACAACCTGTCTCAGTAGATGTATTACTTGTTGTAGGGTAACAACCTGTCTCAGTAGATATATTACTTGTAGGGTAACAACCTGTCTCAGTAGATGTATTACTTGTTGTAGTATAACAACCTGTCTCAGTAGATATATTACTTGTTGTAGGGTAACAACCTGTCTCAGTAGATATATTACTTGTTGTAGTATAACAACCTGTCTCAGTAGATATATTACTTGTTGTAGGGTAACAACCTGTCTCAGTAGATGTATTACTTGTTGTAGTATAACAACCTGTCTCAGTAGATATATTACTTGTAGGGTAACAACCTGTCTCAGTAGATGTATTACTTGTTGTAGGGTAAGAACCTGTCTCAGTAGATGTATTACTTGTTGTAGTATAACAACCTGTCTCAGTAGATATATTACTTGTTGTAGGGTAACAACCTGTCTCAGTAGATATATTACTTGTTGTAGTATAACAACCTGTCTCAGTAGATATATTACTTGTAGGGTACTGTCAGGTCATCATTTAAATTTTGATACTTTCAGCGACACCAAGCTCAGGACAACTGTCAGTTGTTGCAATCTTGATCCAAAACACTCGATCCAACAGTCACTTGAATTACCATTTGAGCAAGTGCCAAGGCGATTATATAGAGAATCTCACCTGAGTGTCTTTTGATATCAAATATATCAACACAAGTTGATAAAAGTTGAAAAATTCCGAGGCTTGCCGAGGATTTTTGCCACTTTTATCAATGAGTGTTGATATATTTGATATCAAAAGGCATGAGGGTGAGATTTTTTTTATCATCCAACATCATTCTTCTAATTTTTTCAATTTGTAGACAATAATTAGGAGTGTCTTCAGTGTAAAAAGTACTGCTAACAGCTTCAGTAGCAGAGCCATTAGTGATGTCATTTGATTGTGATGTCATTTGATTGTGACGTCTGGGTAACCAGTGACGTCACAATGGTCTGCAAAGCATTGTGATGTAATTTCATTGCAGCGATATCTACAGTGTAGATATCGCTTGATCTCATCCAAGCAATATCTCCTGTGGAAGCCAGTTTTGGATGATAAATTTCCTTCTTCAAACTTAAATATCAGGTTGTATATTTGGCAGATGCCCTAGTCAGTGTCTCTGTTTCATCTGACTCCTGATAGGCAGGAAATGTTACAGGGTACTCATGACTCTGGAGACTATACCAGAGTCTCATCTAACAGAAAAGCAGGAACTATTTGCTCTAGATGTTGTACAGAAGTACAGTAAAACCTACAAAATATCATCACATATATATAGCTTAATATGAAGTAGCTTTTTGATCCCGGAGAATCCTTATCAGCACTGTTGTGTTGTATTGGCACTTACATTGACAGCATGGCAGAGTATCAGAGCTTTGAAGTAGTTGAAAGTCTGGTCAAGGTTTCCGAATGGGGTTTCTGAAAACAATAAGTTTGGAAATTAAAAAAAAAAGGAAATTGTCATATTGCTGATATTAATAATCTTCAAGTCTTACACACATCAACTCATTTTGCCACATCATGTTAGATACAGATTCAGCACAACAGCTCGATCACCCTCTCCATCCCAACAGTATAGTGAGAAGTTGCAGAGGCGAGGGAAGTGGGATGAACACCACAGAGTTATTATCTTTAATATATTTAGATAAAGCTGCACCTAAGTAACATGATATTGGAATACATTATTCCCGATAAAAAATAGTTTCAGATAAAAAAAATTCTGATCCTTGCATTAAAATCCTTTTAAGTTACCGTATATCATTGGGTAAGTTTTAACTGAATCGCTGGTAGATTCCAAGAAAACGTGTGTACAGCTGATTGCTGTTTCCGGCTTAGCTTACAAGAAAATACACAAGGTAGTCTTAATCCCTGTATGTAAACCAATGCCTAGCAGAACGAAAAATACAATTTAAACTGTAAATCAACATGTCTGGTGATTTATATCTCAAATTTCAAATTTGTACTGACCAAGTTTCTTATCACCTGTTTGTTTACCAGAATTCGCTGAATTTTTTTCTGCGCATAATAATCGAAAAAATTCTATTTAAAAATACTGAATCCACTAGAGGGGGGTGCCAATTATACTTGGGTGGGCACTATACTCAAGAAAATACGGTATTTCAGTTATAAAAGTGTGCCAGCTTGATGTAGAAGTAAAGTCTCAAGTTACACCATAACTTTTACCTATTTGGTTAAGGTGGGGGTGAAATGGGGGGTTAACTTCACGTTCTAGATTAATTGCTCTCAAATAGCAATGTGCCTGCATGCGTGCATGTCTGCTTGTACTAGTCCAGACTAAAGCTGCTTGTACTAGTCCAGACTACAGCAAGTTAAATAGTGCCAGCCCTCTGAGATACCATGCCACACTTTAACATGGATACTCGACTCAGACACAGTATACTGACTCCCAGTTGTAGTTGTTGCATTAAGTGTTCAAGAGGCCGCCTTCTGCCTTAGCAATTTCGGCTGACCTGTCCCTCTTTGGGACTCCTGTGTGTGAGTAGGGTACACATATCTATTGTGGTATTCACAGAATTTCTGTTTTTGTATTGATATGATTTCTATTTTCGTGTATTGATATAATTTCATTTTTATATTTGACTGCTCTGTTTCTATACGTTCGAGTAGCTGTCCATCTCTCCTAACTAGAGTTAGTTTCTCCTTCTCTATTGCATCTCTTGGCTTTAGGAGATCTATGACAGATAGCGGATCTAACTGCAATTCATGTTTTAACCTTGCCTGGGCTGGGGCATTGTCAACTCCCAGCTTACTTACCTACTTACTTACTTACTTATATTGGAGATTTAACGTGCGCTTTCCGACTGCAAGCATATGTCGCAGACGGGCCCGGCCAGGCCATTTAATGTGTTTCCGAAAAGGGGAAAAGTGAGTTTGTGCAACCCAGGAGGGGGGCTTTAGGGGTTGCTTATACATAATAATTATAGTAATTTTGAAATTTTGAGATTTGGAATGAATGCCAAGAGTGGGTGGAGGACGAACTAAGGGAGCTGTGTGTGTTGGGTGGTTGTTAGATTAGGGAGTTTTATAACCTAAATGCCGAGCTCCAGAGAGGGGGGGGGGGGGGGGGGGGAATTTGGGTGAGGGGGGGGTGTGGGGATGGAAGGGATTTGTTGCCCCCTGGACCCCAGTTTTACATTGGTTCTCACTTCTTTCTCCATTTTGGGCTTGACAAGTCTGTACCAATTAAATTCTTTTCAAAATGCAGCCATGACAATTTTGGGCATCGATAATATCCAAAATATAGCCTGATCAAATGACTGAAGAATAGTTTTGTTACCAATGCAGACTTCATGGGTCTTCTTGATGATGGAGAAGAATGCCGATGTCTTCTCCCGACTGAAGCCATTATCCCGGGCAAACTGCAGGGTGTAGTAGTAGAGGTCCATGATGATACCGGACTTGAGGTTCTCCCGATGGTCACTCAGTCCAAAGATGTCAGACAGGACACTGAAACGTACATACTTATCAGTCAGTTGAGTGAATGAGTGAGTTGGGTTTAACGCGCATGATTGCAATGTGATTGGCTATTTTAGCGTCGTGTCAATCAGACTCAAAGCGAAGCGACGGTAGCGTGAGTGAGTGAGTGAGTGAGTGAGTTAGGTTTAACGCCGCTTTTAACAGTGTTCCACTTATATCAGCTTAATGTGGGAGGAAAGCCCGAAGTGATGCAGGTCTTAGACGTCTACCACTTTGGTGAAACCCACGAGCACGGGTATGGTGCTGACAAACCTAGAAACATATAATCGAGGTGAACCGGGATTCAAACCCACAATCATAGGTTTCTGGCATGTCCAAGGGATGCAACTCTGCACAGCGAATTGCGGTGCCTTAGACAACTGGGCCACCCGTGCCTATCTGATAGTTTGTTTGATACAGTTGACAATGAAGTGTTAGTTCTGTTTTCAGTATTTCGTAAATTGATTGCAAATTTTAACTCAGAGTGAGTGAGTGAGTATGGCTTTACGCCGCTTTTAGCCATATTCCAGCAATATCACGGCGGGGGACACCAGAAATGGGCTTCACACATTGTACCCATGTCGGGAATCGAACCCGGGTCTTTGGTGTGACGAGCGAACGCTTTAACCACTAGGCTACCCGACCGGCCCCTTAACTCAGATCTGTAGGGGGATAACTATCATTTTCGTATATTAAAACATACATTCACATTCTCTTAAATGAAAAAAAAGGAGCCAAAAGGGTTTTTCTTTGGAGCCAACACAACATATTTTTTAAAATTACACCTTTCAGGTTTTCAGACAGGTGGCTATAATGACAATTGCTAATTTATTCAATTCAAGTTTTTGAAGTTTCGTATCTGGTCCAGTTTACCAGCTTTAAATTGCAAGTGTCATCTACAAAATCAGTATTCCCTGCAAATATTGTAAATCGTGAAATTAATGCGTCTCCAAAAGAATGCGACCACTGGCCCTTAGCCATAATTGTGACACCCCCATCCTCTCAAGCATCAGTGGATTTATATCTAAAGAAAATGTCCTCCGTCAGGTTTACAGGAGAACCCTCACCTCAATCCAACCTTACATTAATCCAATCACACACCAAATAGCACCGCTTATTAGCGCTGAGTAGAGTACTTCCACTAAAACAATACATAGTATTTTCCTAAGAACAACAGATACTTTTTGTGTTGATTCTGTTGACTGGCATTAAGGAAGTTCAAAGGGAGAAAGTGCGGAGAAAGTGTCAACAAACTTAAAGGTGTGTGACAAAACAAAGGCTGTCGATCTAAAAGGTAGTGTGATGAAGACTATCCATGCGGGCTGGCTCGTGTTGGCCTTTGACGCAGTCGCAAAGAACAAAGACACCGTGTTGCGTGGGTGGCGTCTGTCTGGACTTGTAGGTGTGATCAGCGATAACATAAGTGAGTAGAACATTTGTCTTTACCCCAGCAGTGACAATTCACACGATGTAATTAGTGTTTGAATGACATTGTTTATATACTTGTTACAAGTGCTGCTCAATAAACAGTGATATGGAATACATAGCTGTTTGTTTTCAGCATATGTCTAAGTTGATATTTCTGCTATCCAAAATGTTTTATTGTTGATATAAATGCGATGTTTAATAATGCGAGCAAAGACCACTCGCATTTTTCGCATTTAATTCACGCTCACATTAATTTCAAGATTTACAGTAATGGCTTTGTTGAACAATAAGCACATGTCATCATATTTTTGTTGAAATGTGACCATTCAAATTCTTTTATCCAAGCCTCATGAAAGACGCGACAGGGTGTTTGTCGATCTTTCTGTGTAATAAATTTAGAACTATGTGCAGACGATAATGATGACTGACTAGATTCAATTCCCCCTGTATCCTCGCTTCCCCCTTATCACCCCTCACATCACCACTACCCCCAACCCTGATGTGTTTAGCAATGCTCCCACTCCCATCATTTTCACACTCGTCACGATATGGCTGAAATACTGCCGATGTGATGTTAAATATTAACTCACTCACTCATTTTCACTGCTTGGGACGTTTTTGACAAAATATAGAAAACACCGCAAGACAGCATGTCACGGTCGAATAGCAAAGTCAATACTCCATACACTAGCACTTCATACAAGGCAATAGCGCATTTTATGCTTTGTTTTGTTTGTTGTTTAACGCCACAATCAGCACTAATTATACTCAGGCGCATTATATACAGTATGTACGGAATTACTACACAAGCAGTTTTCACTGGATTGTATATCTTACGAATCTGGACATTAGGTGAAAATGTGCTTGCGATATTATGACTTTTATTTTAAAAGAATTTACGACGAAGCTTCGTTTGTGATATTGCCGTGTTTACATGCCGCATATGTGCTGTGGAATACGGACCATTGTTTTCTGAAATAGGTCTTGCGAATGTCCAGCAACGCATCAGTTATTTGTACAGTAAAGATGACAATAATTACGGCACCAAATCGATGACTTAAAAAAAATCACGCCAATGTTAAAATTCAGTCACATATGCGACCATTCAGTCACTAATTAAAGGTCTGGGTATCAGAATAAAAGATTGATTTTAATGAGATTGATAAATCATAATGTTTAGTCATACAATGTAAGTGAGTGAGTTTGGTTTTACACTGCTTTTAGCAATATTCCAGCAATATCACGGCGGGGCACACCAGAAATGGGCTCCACTCATTGTACCCATGTGGGGAATCAAACCCAGGTCTTCAGTGTGATGGGCGAACGCTTTAACCACTAGGCTACCCCACCGCCCGCATACAACATGCACTCAGCGACCTACTTCTTGATGTGATCTGCGTTGAGAGATTCATTGATCCTGTCCACATCATCCACTGTCAAGTCAGCCCTGCAAACAAACAAACAAACAGTTACCATAGCAATAATGTTAGGGGATGATACGTAACACAGGGTTTTACCTTGACGTAAAAAAGTAGCGGTTCAGGGGACCCCCAATAATGAACTTTATGGGTCCCTACAGGCAATATGAGAGTCCTGTAAAGTAAAAAAATTATGTAGTGTACTGTACTTTTTGAAAATTACTTAAGAGTGAGTACGTGAGTTGGGTTTAACACCGCTTTTAACAGTATTCCAGTTACATCACGGCGTGTCAGCTTTATGTGGGAGGAAAGCCCGAAGTGATGCAGGTCTCAGACATTTACCACTTCGGTGAAACTCACGAGCACGGGTATGGTATTCACAAACCTAGAAACATAATCGGGGCGAACCGGGATTCGAACCCACAATCATAGATTTCTGGCATGGCCCAAGGGACGCAACTCTGCACAGCGAATCGTGACGCCTTATATGACTGGGCCACCCGTGCCACCAATTCCTTCAGAGCCTGGAATGCATCATTGATCATGTGGACAGTGGTCATGATTGATGGATGAAATAAGAGGCACCCATAACTGCTCTTGATGTGCTGTAGGTAGAATGAATATAATTGTACGCCCCGAGGGATGCAGTATAATTTTTTTTCTGCATCCGTTCTCTACATTTGAGCATACTGGATTCACATTTGTGCGTCTCGTAAAAACCCTGGTAACACAAGCTCAGTAATTATTCAACTCATGATTTCATCATGTATATGCAGAGCTCCAGATAAGCTGCGTATCTGCGTAAAATACGCATCAGAAATGCAGAAATACGCAGTAAAATTAAATCCAAGCGTATCAAATACGCAACGAACATTACAGATACAGTACAAAAATAAAACTTGTGCGTATCATCAAAATATCGTGAAGTAACCCTGTGTATTCGATTAGCAAATCAGCAACTTATTTTGAAATTATAAATTGGCATTCCGTCAACCTTGCCAAACTCCACGATGACAGTTACAGTCAAGTCTCGTTAATCCGACACTCGTTAATCCGACACTCGGCTTTATCCGACACAAATGATGGGAACCGATTGATTCAGCGCTATTTAGTCCCGTTAATCCGACATTCTCGCACTCCGACTCCGACACACCTAATTTGCAACGAATTACTGAAATCACTCATTAATCAGTCTCGTTAATCCGACACAGTGGTCAGCGTACTCCGTGGTCATCTGCCCGCGAGTACACAACCCCGTGTTTTGACACGCACCGGCTGCAGAGATTAACTTTAACAATTAACACTAGATGCCGGGATCATAAAGAATTTCAAGCTTTATTATAAGAAACAAATGAAATTACACCTCGACAATGTTGATGCTGAAGAACCACCAGCCCTAGACGTCAAGCGAACAGGGGACTTTGAGAAATGTGCCTTCAAAATGTGAGAAACAGAAAACACTGACAGACTATTTTAAGTAGATGAAGCAAGTTGTTAAGACAGTAGCACTTGCATTTACACGAGGAAACACACGGTTATTATCTATCGTGAAGATGTCCGATTTTCGATCACAAATCACTTAATTTCGTTAATCCGACATACTCGTTAATCCGACACAATCATGTGCAACCAACGATGTCGGATTAACGAGACTTGACTGTACATCATAATCATTTGCCATATGGAAGTATCGTGGTATTTTTGAGTCCTATAAAGCTCTTGAACCCACACGACACCAGTTTGCAGGGACTAGATGAATAGTGTTTTTAAATATTTAACTTAAATACCCACTAGTGGGTAACAGAAATTTGAATACCCAGATAGAATTACTGATACCAAATGATTTTAAAATGCATGGGTAAAATACCCACAACACCAAAAGCTTATCTGGAGCTCTGTATATGATAATATGTACTGTCAGTGACTCCACATTATATTCAGAGTCCCTTACTTAAAACCAACAAATATATTTTACTATCACAAAACTAGTATCGTTGTTGTTTTTTGGAGTACTGTTTTAAAGAAAATTAATGAATAGGGAAAAAAATCAAATCTGAAAAAAGCAATTGTTAAACTACATAACAATCGGTCACAGTGACACAAGTTTATTTAAAGACTTATCCAACTTACCATACACATATTTTGGCTTTATGATCTCTGGGCTGCAACAAAAATGTGAATACAAAGTTAACATTGATATTTCCAGAAGTTACTCCAGATCTGCAACAGATGTTGATTCTGTTTTTTTCTACAAATTATGACCTGTGAAGTTGTATCTTTGCCTAAAAGGTTTATGTCCATCCTTGTTTTCTCTTTTATGACACTTTACAGCAAATACCGTATTCGACATAATATTCGCTCTAATAAGCGCCCACGGCGATATTTGCTATATATTGGAAAGTGAACAAACACAATTAGCACCCCTTCCGATTGATCAATGTACACAAGACTTAAATTTATTTGTGTGTAATACGCACTCGTGTGTTATATGCACCCTTAATTATGGGCAATTAAATTCTGGAAAAATATATCTGTGGTATATATAAACATTTCAGGCTGTAAGCATAAACCAGGAAATTAACGATCTTTCAACTCTGGTTTTTTTCACCAAAATATTATTCAAATAAGAGCCCCCTATTTCTAATTTTGAGAAAGCCCTGGGTGATATTATTATGTAGAATACTGTAATGGAAAAAAAGCATATTCTGAGTAATATATAGTAAAATAGATCTATATATTAACACACATCCAACTTCAAAAATAGATAAATATTTTATAATAGTTGCAAGATGTTCTTCCAAAGACAGGGTAAATATGTCTAATATGTCTTTAAAAGGCGTTTAGAAGTGAAACACATAAGGAAGAGAATATTCTGGATGTCAACTTCTATCTTACGAGGAACACAATGTTTAGGAGTATATACTTACTTCTTCATCAGCGCTACAAACAAAATAGTTATCATAGAATGCAATAATGTTTGGGGACGATACGTAATACAAACTATTCCTCACCTGATGGAGGAGTACGTAGACGCTCCGAAACATTGTTCCTCATAATAAAGAAGTTGACATCCATAAAAATTCTCTTCCTTTTGTCTTATATTATGTTGACTGACCAGATAATGTCTTCTACAAATTTGATTGACTTGACTGTGGGTGACTTTGGATGTATCTTTGTACAACATTTCATCTTAGATGCCCTGCCTAATTCTTAATCTTAAACATCGCTGTATAAAAGCCCCCTCTACACTATCAAAAACTTTGATAAAAAACTTGGTCAAAGTCTTTTTTGACCAAATGTTTGATAGTGTAACATGCTGTCAAAAACTTTGATGGAATAGAAACCAATCCTATTTCTCGTCAAACTTTGATCAAAGTTTGATGACTTTGATTAATTTAGCCAATCAGAATGCAAGGAACATTTACCCCTTTTCAACCGGAAGTGCATAGAGTCAAGTCAAAATGAACCAACTATTTTGGACTGATGAGATGTTGGAAGAATTAATTGATGTGGTTCAACAATGAGCAGCCATTTTCGGGACCAAATATGCCTTTGTCCACCCCGACTCCGTCTTTTCAACATGGCTATATACAAAATACATATGACAGCAGGAAAACATTCTTCGTCAGTAGCATCCATCTTGGCAAGATAACTCCATCCAAAACTTTGACGGCCTGTTAAAAACTTTGATGAGTAAACACCCAATTTGGACCCAGAAAACTTGATCAAAGTTTTTGATAGTGTAACGAGGGGGGGGGGGGGCTTAACACAAATACCTGATCCATTGCAATTGAATACATATTACTAAGTCCCTGTCATACACAAACTGCACAGCACATCCTACCTGTCTATCAACACACCAACTAACAGTAGATTTGTGGCATCAACAGACATTTTAAATCTGCAGTCATAACTGAATTGTTCTCTTGTAGATTATGCAAAGCCCAAGGTATAGGTGATCTTGGGGACCTTGGGAATTTCCAAGACACTATATTTATATTTATTTACAGTGTCAGATAAAACTAAAAGCTGCCAACATTACATAAACCCTGAAAGCACTGTAAACTGATAAATTCTGTGACTGACAAAATTCCCGAATGCTTGTGGTGTAATTATTCCTATGTTAATTCTCTCTTTGCATATCTAGAGTTAGAATTTAACACTAGCCCGCTAGCCCGGGCCTAGTACAAATTTCCATATTTCCCCATTGTTTAACATTACAACTATAAGGGCATTTTAAAGCTTTTGAGTTTGTTTCTAGCAATGAATTATCATTCACCTGAATGATCTTCGGAACCTCCTGTGTTTTTTCCTGTGGCACATCCTGTTTTTCTCCAGTTTCGTCTGTAAGATGCATCCTGTCTCGTTATTCCAGGCGTCGAAGTTGCATGTGCGAGTTTACAAATAATGGCGCCGTTGCTAAGCACCGCTATTTTTGTTTGTGCATTCCACAAGGGACTGTGTCGCTCAGAACAAATACAAGACCGAAAAGAGTTATCTCCCATCCACCGCTTCGACCCAAGCTCCTTCCCAGCGCGTGACACCTTCGTTACACTCTAGGTAACATCGCTGCCACCAGTGTGGGCGCGGCCATTACAAGACTCTTGAAATTTGCCCTCTAGCCCCAAATGTTGTAACGTTTATACTTTTGTTTATGTCTTTGGGAATGCCATCATATTTCATTTCGAAAAGGTTTACGACTATCCATGTTTTCCAGATGAATTTACTTTGTTGTTTTAATAATCAGAATGGTTCGAGATTGCAGACAAATGGAAAATCAACCAACTTCTCCCTTAGATTCTTACCATATCAATTACATGATAGTTTTAATGAAATAGAACTTCAAATTGACAAACAAAGAAAAGTAATTTAGCAGGGGTAAGCGTATTCGGCGTCACGACAGTCGTCACTTGTTTTTAAACAACGGTCATTCGGTTGCAAGTTCAACTCCAAGCATGGTTGGGGCCACTTATCACAGTGGGGAGTTATGACTGGTGGCAGCGATAGTAAAGAGAGATTTGATTTTAATGAGATTGATATTAAGTCAACAGGTGAAGCATGTGACAGGTTTATTTGTCATGTTTATAAGGTTCTTCCGTAAGTAAATCCTTGTTAGTTGTTTAATGCCAAAATTTGCAATATTCCAGCTATATGACGGTGGTCTGTAAATAATCGAGTCTGGACCAGACAGTCCTGTGACTGACGGCATGAGCATCGATCCACGCAATTGGGATACGATGACATGCATCAACCAAGTCAGCGAGCCTGACCACCCGATCCCGTTAGTCGCCCTTTACGAAAAGCATGGGTTGCTGAAGACCAATTCTAACCCGGATCTTTACAGATGACATAATTAAATGTGGTCCTTCCATTGCTTTTATTAATAAAGGGCTCAGTTGAAGCATCCAAAGCATGTCGTTAGAACCGGCTCAAATGAGTGAGTGAGATGTGTTTAGATCCGCTTTTACCAGTATTCCAGTTATATCACGGCGTGTCTGCTTGATGTGAGAGAAAAGCCCGAAGTCATGCAGGTCTTAGACGTTTAGCACTTTGGTGAAGCCCACGAGCAAGGGCGAATCGGGATTCGAACCAACGACCTGGCGTGCCTAAGGGACGCAACTCTGCACATCGAGTGGCACCATAGACGACTCAGCCACTCGTGCCTCCGACTAAAATGAAGAATGAATTTTTACATTGCTCTTGCTATCACCGCCATTTTGTTCTGGTACAGGATATACCTGATTTATTTCCCACGTTAGACGCCCGGTCGTCTATTAATGTCTCTGAAGTCGTACAACCATCTAATAATGGAGGAAATACGGTAGTTCAATCTCATTAAAATCAGATCTTAGTTCTCGCTACCGCTAAACAAAGATCTGAGGACATCCCATTACGGGTCACGTCAGACCGACCTTGCGTGAACTTTGACCGACCAATGGAATGACCAATCAGAAGCAGCTTTCTCGTGCTTTACGGGGCGGTCGGGTAGCCTAGTGGTTAAAGCGTTCACTCGTCACGCCGAAGACCCGGGTTCGATTCCCGACATGGGTACAATGTGTGAAGCCCATTTCTGGTGTCCCCCGCCGTGATATTGCTGGAATATTGCTAAAAGCGGCGTAAAACCAAACTCACTCACTCACTCACTCGTGCTTTACGGCACTAATTTCAAATTGGCGACTACGCTTCGAAACATATTTTGACAAATTCTCGATTACAAATTTGAAACCTGAACAAAAAAACCATTCTGGAATGGCTAATAGATGGTCTAGATTGTAAGGATTTAGTCGTTGAGCCTGTAACTATCGTTCGGAATACCCCATGTTAAAGTTTTCGAGGTTGCATGATTAGAAAACACATTCCGACTGTCACTTTCATAATCTGGTAAGCGACGCTCTGATTGGTCGGATGAAAGGTCGTTCTGACGTGACCCCTAATGGGATGTCTTCAGTGAGTGAGTGGGGTTTAACGCCGCTTTTAATATTATTCCAGTTATATCACGGCGTGTCAGCTTAATGTGGGAGGAAAGCCCGAAGTGATGCAGGTCTCAGACGTTTACCACTTCGGTGAAACCCACGAGCACGGGTATGGTGCTGACAGACCTAGAAACATAATCGGGGCGAACCGGGATTCGAACCCACAATCATAGGTTTCTGGCGTGTCCAGGGGACGCAACTCTGCACAGCTAATCGCGGCGCCTTAGACGAGTGGGCCACCCGTGCCCCCATACCAGGGATGTCTTCATATCGTTGTTAGCGGTAGCGAGAACTAAGGTCTGATTTTAATGAGATTGTACGGTAGTTGGAAAATCTCTGCGGCGTATTACAACATTCACCTACTGTCATTTCCACATGGCATGAACCTTCTGAAGAAAGAAAAAACGAGTGAAACTAGAAAAAAACAACCCAGATGCGTGGACAAGTCACGTGTTGTATAGATTGTCTTTAGGCACTGTAGGTTTGTTAATGATCAAGGTGACACCGTCACCATAATTAAATTATCTTGGGTGGAATCATCCTTGATAATTTGAGACATCGTATTATATTCATGTACAACTGACCTAAGGTGTTCTCGAAGAAACTGAAAACAACCTATTATTTATCTCTTGATTAAAAAGAAGAAATATAAAAAATAGCAATCATGTTTTTGTCGTTGAGATTGTTCATGGTAACAAAATATGTTAAGCTTTTAGTTAAATATTTCATTAATATTGTCAGTGACTCATCCAAGTTGTTCGTAGTGTACCGTAAAACTTTGACAACACAACGGTATTTTATTAGTTTTGTAGTGTAACGCCGCCTTTAACAGTATTCCCGTTATTCCACAGCATGTCACCTTGATATAAAAGGAAAAAAACAGATGTGACGTAGGTCTTAGACATTTACCACTTTGGTGGAACCCACGAGCACGTGTATGGTGCTGACAAATCTAGAAACATAATCGTGGAGAATCGGGATTCGAAGTCACGATCATAGGTTTCTGTCACGCCCAAGGGACGCAACTCAGCAAATTGCAGCGCCTAAGACGACTGTGTTACCCGTGCCCAACTGATTGTGTAATGGCATTAGACCCCGACTTAAATCGATGCAGGCGTTTTTTCTTTTATTCAAAGTAGGGTTTTTAGCGGGCGTGTTACGACGTAAATTGAAATAAAAAGGTAAATTGTAATACTTGCAGCAAATTGTAACAGGGCGTTTATCCAAGTATTTACGGTTAGTCAAACTTCCTCAAACCAAGTTTATATAAAACCCCTAATTTAAAGCACGTGGTTAAATGATATTATCATGTTTACTGCGGAGTTGTGTGTCAAATTCGAAGCTTTGTTTTGCCTGGGGACAGCAAGAGTCACATTACCCTATATAATATCAATACTGAGCCTTCACGTGTCACCGCGCCTGACATTTGGGTGTTTTCTTTGGACGCTTTTATTCCTTTGAAAATGTAACATATATCTTGTAACAACTGCAGATACATTTTAACTGTTTAGAAAGTGATTGCCTACGATATTGAATTTGGACATTGACATACTATCAGAGGGAGTCTACATATTCTTAGGGCTTAGAATAGGCCTTCAGCAACCCATATGCTTGCCGTAATAGGCGACTAACCGGATGGAATGGTCAGGCTCGCTGACTTCGCTGATGCACATCATCGTATCCCAATTGCGTAGACTGATGCTCATGATATACTCCCTATATAAATTTTATAAGTACTTTTATTATCCAAAACTGGCTCCCACAGGAGATATCGCTTGGGTGGGATCAAGCGATATCTACACTGTAGATATCGCTGCAATGAAATTGCAGCACAATGCTTTGGAGGCCATTATGATGTCATTGGTTACCATGACGTCACAATCAAATGACATCACTAATGGCTCTGCTACAGAAGCTGTTTAGCAGTACTTTTTACATTTAAGACACTGCTTATTACTGTCTACAAAATGAAAAAGTTGGAAGAATGATGTTGGATGATAAATAAAATCTCATCCTCGTGTCTTTTGATATCAAATATATCAACACTCGTTGATAATAGTGGGAAAAATCCTCGGCAAGCCTCGGAGTTTTCCAACTTTTATCAACTCATGTTGATATATTTGATATCAAAAGACACTCGGGTGAGATTCTCTATATATATAGGGGGTAGGTATATTTTTATTTACTGACCAATAATGAGCTCCCGTGATCATAAAATGCTAGACAGAGCTCATAAGCCGAGTGTGTTTCAGTGTCCAAACATTATCATATATTAGAAATAACAATTGTAATAATGTTTTTATCGTATAAAATGTAGTTTTTTAATAATAATAAAGACGTAATTTCACTCAACAGCAGATCTTTAGAAGCCGCGTATGAATACAATATTTGAGTGAACCGTCCCATTTATCTTACAGTGTCAAATCACATGTAGCCTAGTTTCCTCGACACATCGGAAAACCCCAAAGCATTCTGGGAACGTTGGTCAATTGTTAACTGAGAAATGAAAGATTCGCTACCGTCGTCATGACCTATGGGTCGACCATTTAACGTTCTCTTTTAGGATTAAGAAGAGTAGAGTTTGAAGCGCGAAGAGACGACAGAATATGGGTTAAGAGGCCGACAGAAATCTGTGCTTGAAAATGCTGAAGCAAGTAATAAATAAAATACTACACGAGAACCTGTGTGATACCGATTTTATGAAACTCGTGAATAGGTCTGGTATCTGACGAGCGAAAGCGAGTCAGATAGCATAACTATTCTCTCGTTTCGTAAATTGGTAATACATGGGAGCTTGTTTAGTATTCTACATGTCTCAGACAAACATGCTATTCTTCACATTAACCCGGCCCTACTTAAGGAAAGTCCAATAGGTCAAGTGAGATGGGGTTTTAAGGTCGCGTCGCGTTTACGATTATTGCACTTATGTGTGCGTGTGTGTGCGTACGTGCGTGTGTGTGCGTGTCAG